TAAAAAAAAAAGGTTTACTCAAGAATTGGTTATATATGCATTTACTGTGATTCAAAACATTCCTTGCAAGGCCAGACAAACTGATTTACACATTAAAAATTGACTTACCTTATTACATAAAGTATTGGGAAAAATGGCCTCTGTTCTCTAAGCCAAGTGATGAAAGCTATTGTTCTAGCAGATTCTGGTGTATCAAGTTCTGGAAGGTCTGTCTGTTAAACAAAACCAGGAATCTCCAATTAACTGTAATTATCTACTGTGTAGTCTGAAGCACTCTTTAGATTTTAAAGTTTATGAATCCAGTGATGATTTTGTTGAACCAGATAGTAAATACTTTAGGCTGAAAGAGTCATTTGGTGACTGTTGCAAATACTCAGTTCTGTGGCTGCTACATTAAAGTTGCCAGGAAGGATGTGTGAGTGGGCATGGCTGTACTGCAGTAAGAGTAAGAGGTTGCAGGACTCTGGGCTTCCTTTCTCTTCATTTCATTGTGACATTTAGTTAACTGACTCTGCGCTATGGCATGGGCACACCCACAGACACATAAATAAGTAAATAAATGTAAACAAACAAACTGAGGTCCTGCAGATGGCTCAGAGGGTAAAGGTGCCTGCCACTGAGCCTGACAACTGGAATTTGAACCCCAGGTTCCACATGGTAGGAGAACCAACACCTGCAGGTTGTCCTCCAACCTCTACATGTGCACACACATACTAACACAAATATAAATGCAATAAAATTCAAAGAGTTCATCTCAAGCCGGGCGTGGTGGTGCACACCTTTAATCCCAACACTCAGGAGGGAGAGGCAGGCGGATCTCTGTGAGTTCAAGGCCAGCCTGGTCTACATAGTAAGTTCCAGGACAGCTGGGGCTACACAGAGACCCTGTCTCAAAAAGAACAACAACAACAAAAAAAGACTTAATTTTAACTGCATAATTCAAAACTATCCAAATGCTATAGAATTTTAAAGGTGATTTCTTCTTTTGCTACATAAATAGTGTGGCCATTAGTTTAGTTTTTACTGCAAAGCAGATTTTAAAGAACCTTGTCAAAGAACAAAAAAAAAAAAATCACTTGCCCAAAACACAAAAGCTGTAATACTGGGCTGGGAGTACAGCTTGGCAGATGCTTGCCTAGCATGTGCAAGGCTCTAGAGTCAATAATTCCTGATAAAAAAAGAGGGAGGAAGGGAGGGATGGGAAGAGAGAGAGAGAGAGAGAGAGAGAGAGAGAGAGAGAGAGAGAGAAATCCCTAAAGTCACGTGCAGCAACACTTTTTTGGTCATTAAATTTATTTATTGCTTTCTTCTCAAGAAAGAATACTATTGCCTTTTTTTTTTTTTTTTTTTTTTTTTTGCGACAGGGTCTCACTATGTAGTCCTGGCTGGCCTGGAATTCACTATGCATCTCAAACCAGCAGCCAACTCACAGAGATCCATTTGCCTCTGCTTCCTGAGTGCTGGGCTAAGAGCATGGTGGTACACACTTGTAATCTCTGCACACTGGAGGCTGAGGGAGAAGGATTTCTGTAAATGTTTTGTTTGGTTTTTGATCTTTTTGAGATGGGTCTCCCTGTAGCTCCAGCTGGCCTTGAACTCACAGAGATCTGCTTGCCTCTGCCTCCCTGAGTGCTGGGACTAAAGGCGTGCGACACCATACCCAGCCTGGATTTCTGTAAATTTGAGGCCACTAAGGGCTAGATAGTGAGTTCTAGGCCAGGCTTTGCTACAGAGGGAGAGGCTGCTGAAAAACAAAAACGAAAGCCATGTCCATCTCATCTGAGCACCACAGTACACTTACAAGCCCAGCATGTGGGGGGGGGGGCTGAGGCAGGAGGACTGCTTTGAGTTTGAGGCCAGCATGGGTTACAGAGCAAGATGCTATCTTAAAAAACAAAACCAACCAAACCAAACCCACAAAAAGAATGCTATTATTCCATTACCAGAAGAGGGGACTGGGAGGAACTTGTAGCTGGCTTGGGCTACACAGCAGGTCCTATAAAAAAACCAAATGATGCACGCCTTTAATCCCAGCACTGGGGAAGCAGAGGCAGGCGGATCTCTGTGAGTTCAAGGCCAGCCTGGTCGATATAGTGAGTTCCAGGACAGCTGGGGCTACAGGGAGACCCTGTCTGAAAAAGACCAAAAAGAAAAAAAAAAAGTGAAACCAGGTGTGGTAGCACACAGCTTTAATCCCCAGCACTTGGGAGACAGAGGCAGGTGGATCTCTGAGTTTGAGGCCAGCTTAATTTAGTGAGTTTAGACCAGCCAGGATACACAGTGAGACCCTGTCTCAAAAAATAAAAAATAAAAAAAAATATATATATAAACCCCCTAATACACCCTACCCCCCCAAACCCCCCAAGCGCACATAAATAATACCACTGAAAGATGAGCCTGGCATGGTGTGGTCCTATCCACTTGAGAGGCTGAGGCAGAAGGATCACTTCAGCTCTTGAAGTCAAAGGCAAACATGGGCAACATATCAAGATCCTGAAACACCTCCACCCCTAGAAATAAAGACACAGACACAGACATCCCCACCCCCACCCTAGAGAGACAAAAAGACATGTGAACACACACACACACACACACACACACACACACACACACAATTTGGAAACACATACCCCAATGCCCCAAACAAAACCAAGCTGTAAAATGAGCATTTTCAAGCAAAAGAGAAGTATTATCTGTGAGGATATTTTCTCTTTGGGATGGATATTTATGTTTTTGCCACATTTGAAATGTCCTTTGCATCTTCAATGATCACTAAAAGTCTTACCATAGTCTGTGGAATTGATGCATAGTTTTGAACTCCTAGAACTTGACTAAGAAAATTCTGTGCACAATTTTTTCCAACCCAAAGCATCAGTACCTGCAGGCAGGAATAAATTATAGTGAGTCTGTTGACACATTTACTACTGGTTATGTTCTAAAAGGTGAAAACGATGAAGACAATTACTGGGGTTGTACAGATAACAACTGGCATTTGGCAAGATAATGTACAGCATGAAACAGGGAGCTGTGAAGGGAGCAACTGGCTGACACGACAGATACAGTACAAAGAAAGGTGACGGAGGCCAAATGCTCAAGAAATTCTGCGGCACAATGAGAATCGTCAGTGTAATAAGTCAAACCACTCACTGAGCCTGCATCCATAAGGAAGGCTCCATCTCTGCTCAACTTCTCCACCGAGAGCTGAAGAATTGGGGGCTGAGGTATGGTTCTGTCACTGATGTTCAGTGCCCCCTAGGAAGTAAGCAAAGAGCAAAATCTTTAGGCACAGGTAACACAGGGTCATAATGTACTTTTTTTTCATGTGTATATGTGTGATGTGTATGTTTGCATGTCTAGGCAGACAAGTATGTGTGGGTATGCATGCATGTGTGCACAGGCCTGAGATGATGTGGGCTATCTTCCTTGACTGTACTCCATATTACTGGGCCAATCTCACTTAACCTGGAGCTCACCATTTCCAGCTAGTCTGGCTAGGAGCTTGCTCCAAAGATTGTCTGTCGTCTGAGTGCTGGAATTACAAGTGGCAGCAATGCCTGCCTGGTTTTAAACACTCCTGTCCAGCTCTTTCACGCAGATTCTGAACCCCCGTCCTCACGCTTATGTAGCAAGCACTTTATCCAGTGAGCAAAATCCTTAGCTCCAGTACTTTGTCGGGTGTCTTCCTCTATCACTCTCTATTACCTCACTAAAAAAAAAATTTATTATTTTTATTTATGTGTATGCGTGTATTGCCTGCATGTAGTAAGTGCACCCGTGTCATGCAGTGCCCGAGGAGGATGGAAGAGACTGTCAGATCCCCTGGAACTGGAGTTACGGACATTGTTAGCTGCCATGTGGGTGCTGGGATTTGACCAGGTCTTCTGCAAGAACAGACAGTGTTCTTAACCACTGCGCTATCTCTCCAGCCCCCTGTTACCTCATTTTTTGAGACAGGGTCTCTCACTGAACCTGGAGTTCATTATTCAGCTAGACAGTCTGGCCAACAAGTCCCAGGGATCCTCCTGTCTCTGTGCCCCCAGTGCTGAGATTACAGACCCATAGTGTCACATCTGGCTTTTATGTGGGTGCTGCAGAACTAACTCCAGTCCTCACCCTTGTGCAGTTTACCAACTAAGCCATCTCCCTAGCCCATTTTTATTCTTTTTTTTTAAGAGACAAGGTCTCTAAGCCTGGCTGTCTGTGAGCTCCCTATGTAGCTGAGAATACCCTTGAACTTCTGATCCTTCTGCTTCCACATCCTAAATGCTGGATGACAGGTGTGCACCACCATACTTGGTTTATGCAGGACTAGAGATTGAATACTAGGTAAGTACTCTACCAACTGAACTACATCCTCAGCTCTATTTTTTGTTTTTTTCCTGGTTTTTAACAAGGTCTCATATCCCAGGCTGGTCTGGAACTCTCTATATAGCTGGGACTGTCCTTGAACTCCTGATCTACTTCCTAGGTGCTGATTACAGGTGTGTGTCACAAAGCTTGGCTCTTGTTGCTGTTGTTTTGAGACAGGGTGAGACAGGGTCTCACTATGTAGCCCTGGCTGGCCTGGAACTCACTATGTAGACCAGGTTGGCCTTGAACTCACAAAGATTCACCTGCCTGCCCCTGCCTCCTGAGTGCTGGTATTAAAGGTGTTGCACCACCACACTGGGCTTTGTATTTATTTTAAAATTTAAAAAAAAATTTTTTTTTATTTTCTTCCCAGACAGGGTCTGTTGTCCAGGCTGGTTTCAAACTCATATATTCAAGTGATCCTCTTGCTTCATTCAGCCTTCCAAAATAGGTAGAACTATAGATGTAAGCCATGCTGCTATAGCCCAGCCAGTTATAAAATTTTAACATAAGAGGAAATTATGTAAGGGGTATATAAGAATCTTCTTTACTGTATTTGCAACTCATCTTTAAATCTAAACTCAGAGAATAAGTGAGAGAGACTGATTTGTCTTAAAAATTTTGAATAAAGGCACTATTTTTCAGGAGCTTCCCTAAACCAAAGTTTCTGCATTTACCTAGAAAAAAAAACAAACGTAAAGAAATAATATTCAGGCTGGAGAAATGGCTCAGTGGTTAAGAGCACTGACTGCTCTTGCAGAGGACCCGGGTTCAATTCCCAGCACCCACATGACTGCCATGAACTGTCCTTAACTCTAGTTCCAGGAGAATCCGAAACTCTCTTCTGAGCTCCTCAGCACTGCACCACAGGGGAGTTGCACTTACACACATGCAGGCAATAGACTCATACACATAAAATAAAAATAATAAATAAAATATTTTAAAAAAAGAAATAATCTTTTCTCATTTTTGTACTGAATATAATTAAGCTTAACAACCTTTAGGAGAACCCATTAAAAAAGGAGTCAATCTTACCTCATCTGAGAGACTGTCGACTCTATACAAACTGGGGTGTGTTGTGAGCATAAGGTGAACCAGTGGCTGGTTTTTTACTTGACACATAGCAAAAATGCGTTCATCTAGGCGTGCATTTGTCCCAGTCTGGAAAGATTTCTGTAACAACAAAACCCAAAAACTATATTCCCCAACATTAAAAAAATACAGAACTTTGTAAATGTCAGTTGCTAAAAAGATTACCTTGGGATAGAAATAGCAAATTTACCTCTAATTATGTGGTTATTAAATAATTAAAAAAAAAAGAAATAGCAAATTTACTGTAAATTCTTATTTTGTCTTTTGGAGACAGGGTCTCCCTGTAGCCCCAGCTGTCCTGGAACTTGCTATGTAGACCAGGCTGTCCTTGAACTCACAGAGATCCGCCTGCCTCTGCCTCCCAAGTGCTGGGATTAAAGGCATGCACCACCATGCCCAACATAAATTCTTCTTTTAAAAATATCTTTTGAAGCCGGGCATGGTGGCGCACACCATGTACTGAAAACTGAGCAAGAGCACAGGAACAATGACCTGGGTAATTTCATGGAGGCTTTATTGACACAGCATGTTAAAGATTTTAGTTAACTATTTCACCTGTAACTGTAACATAAAATGGTTATTTATTTCAGGGTCAAACTTAAAAGATTTTCCTGCCTCTGCTTCTGGAGTGTGGGCACAACAGGCCGGCTCTTGATGGATCTCCGTACTTTCTCAGTCACCAAGTCCATCCTGCTGTTTCTAACATTTGTGCTCACCCACACTGTATTAGGCATTAAGTACCATCTGTACCCTACTGCAAAATTCCATTGTGGTGGTCCCTAAGCCTATTGTAGATAAAGTCTGCCTCCACTGTGCTTTAATAGGTGTCAATGAATGAAAAAAGAAAAGGCCTTTAAGATTTCTTAAAATTTACTTTGTGTATGTGCACCTTTCTCCTTGATCTGAAGCAAGCTCTCTCTTGCATAGGTGAGCTTCTGGCCCATTCTGCTGTCTCTCCCTCCCACCTTGCAATAGCAGTGCTAGAACCAAAGATGCACACCACATCTGGCTTTTTTTGTCTTTTTGAGACAGGGTCTCCCTGTAGCCCCAGCTGTCTTGGAACTCACTATGTAGACCAGGCTGGCCTTGAACTCCCAGAGATCCGCCTGCCTCTGCCTCCCGAGTGCTGGGATTAAAGTTGTGCGTCACCATGCCCAGCTATTTATTATTTTTTTATGTGTATGTGTGTAATTGCCTGCATGTAGGTAAGTGCACCCATGTTGTGCAATGCCCGTGGAAGACAGAAGAGGCTGTCGGATCCCCTGGAACTGGAGTTATGGCCAGTTGTTAGCTGCCATGTGGGTGCTGGGATTCAAACCTGGGTCTTCTGCAAGAACAGCCAGTGTTCCCAACTGCTGAGCCATCTGTTCTTTGTGTTCTTTCTGGCTTCTTAAATGTGGGTTCTGTGGACTGAGTTCAAGTTATCTGGCTTGCACATTAAGCACTTCTGCACCCTGAACCATCTCCCTGGTCCAAAATTTTGAAACTGGGATGCGAACAACCAGAAAGAATAAGGCAAGTACTATGGGAAATTAGAGAAGCAAGGTTCCATCTATTCACTAGAAATTATTTACTGAAGGTGAGATGGCTCAGTGAGTAAAGGCATTTGCTGCCAAACCCGACAACATGAGTTTGATAGCTGGGACCATATAGTAGATGAGGACAGCTCACTCCTAAAAGCTGTCCCCTAACCTTTACATATGCACTCTGGCATGTGTGTGCCCATGCACAAATAAATTAACATAAAAAAGTTTTTTAAACATCTGCCGAGTGCCTATTATGACTAGGAACCATCCTAGGTGCTAGGACTCAGCAGTGAACTAAATGATAAAGCCCACATGCTCATGGCTTACTCCCGATAAAAAGAAACACAATAATACATAAGCAAACTATTGGGGGGCTAGAGAGATGGCTCAGTGGTTAAGAACAGTGACTATTTCTTGCAGAAGCACCCACATGGCAGCTAACAACTGTCCATAACTCCAGTTCCAGGGGATCCGACAGCCTCTTCTGTCCTCCTTGGACACAGCATGACATGGGTGCACTTACCTACATACAGGCGGTACACGCATACATATAAAATAAAATAAAGAATAAAATATTTTTAAAAATACATAAGCAAACTATATGATCAGTGGTAACTGGCATAGAAAAAACATACGAAGGAAGAGAAATGAAGTGTGTCTGGGTACTGTGCGACTGGGAGGAATGACAGTGTTGCATATTAAATGGGAGAGACCAAATAAGGCAAGCCATAGAAAGAGGTTTGAGAAAAGGCCTGAGAAGAGTTCAGATTGTTAAATGTTAAAATGTAAATACTTATGTAACTTCTGCGTTCATAATCAGAAATACCTGAGTTGGCCAGGTGTGGTGGTGCATGCCTTTGATCCCAGTACTTGGGAGGCAGAGGCAGGTGGATTTCTGTGAGTTCAAGGCTAGCCTGGTCTACATACTGAGTTCCAGGCCAGCTGGAACAGGGAGACCCTGTCTCAAAAAGACCAAAAAAAAAAGAAAAACCCAAAAAAAAAGAAACAAAGAAATACCTGAGTCAAAAGAAGATAAAACTGGCCAACAAGATAGTGCAGTAGGTGAAGGCGTCCGCTGCCACCCTGACCTCCTGAGTTCTATTCCTGGGACCCACATGGTGGAAAGAGAACTGACTCCTCCAAGTTGCCCTCTGACTTCCATATGCATGCCCCAAACTCCCATATTACAATAATATGGGACACAATAATAATAATGGTGACATATTACCACTGTATATGTTATTAGGCACAGTGTGATAAGATACAGCATAAGATATGGCATGGCTGAATCACACTAACAACCCATCACTTCAAGGTTTACATTTACTATTCTTCCTGTCTAACTGAAACACTGTATCCCTGGCCAGTACCCCCATTCCTCCTTAGTCTCTGGCAACTATCATTTTGTTCTTTGTGTTCTTTTTTTTTTTTTTTTTTTTTGAGACAGGGTCTCCCTGTAGCCCCAGCTGTCCTGGAACTTGCTATGTAGACCAGGCTGTCCTTGAACTCACAGAGATCCGCCTGCCTCTGCCTCCCAAGTGCTGGGATTAAAGGCATGCGCTACCATGCCTGGTTATTTATTTTTATTTTATGTGTGTGTTTTGTCTGCATTATGTATGTGCATCAAGTGCATGCCTGGTACCTGCAGAGACCAGAAGTGAGTGTCAGATCCCCTGGAATTGGAGTTACAGATGGTTGGAAGCTGTCATGAGGGTCCTGGGAAGTAAACCTAAGTCCTCTGCAAGAGCACCAAGTGTTCTTAACTACTGAGCCAGGCCCTGATGCATTCATTTTAAAGCTTCTGGTTTAAGTGAAAACATGCAGTGCACACATGGCTTCTTATGACAACCACACAATTTGTAGTTCTTGCTCTGGAAAACCAATTACCATCTGAGTGATCATAGCACTGAATCCTTAGTAAGAGAGCATTTCTTATGTACAAGGCACTTGCATTAAATTAGACATTCATACATTTCTTTGGCTATAGATCCCTTCAATGTTCCAATAAAACATCAGGTTGCCATTCTCAGAAAATTTAACTAGTATAAAATTACATATATAACATTTAGGAGTTCACAGAATAACAAGTTTTTATCATTTTTATTGTGCTAGTTTGTTTGTTTTCTTACCTGTTTAAGGAGAGCCAAAACAAAAAGTGGGAAAAGCCGCAAAGAGAAAGGAACCATGAGCCCAGGCTGCTGGCTGCTAAGGACTGAAGAGCGGTACGCAGAGAGAGAGTCAATGACGGCATTCACCAGAGCGTCTCGGGCATCACTCAGACTGGCAGTCACTGACCTGTCAACAGCTAATAAGGCGAAAAAGAAACAAGATAGGAGTTTGCTGATTCCACTGGTAAGAAGAGGTAATTTCGAAAACATTAAAATCATGCCATGAAACATGTGAAGGTCTGAGGACAACTTGGGGGAAGTGGTCCCCTCTTTCCATCATGTGGGTTTGGGGACTGAATTCATGTCGTCAGGCTTGGCAGCAATTGTCTTTAACCGCTGAGCCATCTTGCCAGCCAATAAATTTTTTATAAATTTAAGCAGGATGGGGCTGGAGAGATGGCTCAGTGGTTAAGAGCACACTGACTGCTCTTACAGAGGACCCAGATTTGATTTCCGGCACCTACGTGGTGGCAAACAACCCATAACTCTAGGGGAATCCGATGCCTTCTTCTGACCTCCAAGGGCACTGGACAACAGGTGTGTACTTACTAACATGCAGGTAATACACTCATACATATAATTAAAGCAGGGTTATAAACAAGTGTTTAGTAGTAAACTGGTTTTTAATGTGAAGTTCCTTTATTCGAAGCCTAATAGTCTTTATAGGTGAATTTCTTAAACTGCATTGCAATGCCCTAAGAAGTCACATAACTGAATGTGGGGGCTTGCAAAAAAAAAAAAAAAAAGAGCAACAGCAAAAGGTTTTGGTACTCTCAGCAAGCAAAAGTTAATTCAAATACATATATCATGAACCCAAGGTGTTTCTGGGAATGCTCAATCACGTTGAACCATGTGATTTCAATGCAGTAGCTTTGGCTCTGAACACATTACCAACCAACACTGTGGCTCAGATTCAAGACTACTATATGTTGCGAATTGAAGTGCTTTAACTGTGCATACAAAGTTTTCTGCTCTTATAAAAACACAGGTTTGGGCTGGAGAGATGGCTCAGCAGTTAAGAACACTGGTTGTTCTTGCAGAAGACCTGGGTTCGAATCCCAGCACCCACATGGCAGCTAACAACTGTCCATAACTACAGTCCCAGGGGATCCGACAGCCTCTTCTGACCTCCGCAGGCATTGCACGGCACAGGTGCACTTACTACATGCAGGCAATACATACACATAAAATAAAAATAATAAATAAAATTTAAATAAAAACCAAAACAAACAAAAAAAAAAACCCATAGGTTTAATTACAAAGAACACAGACTTTCAGTATTCTCCTACTGTCTGTCTTCCTTATATCTTTGGATGGTATTACATTAGAATGCTTGATTTTTTTGTTGTTCTTTTTTTTTTTGGTCTTTTTGAGACAGGGTCTCCCTGTAGCTGCAGCTGTCCTGGAACTCACCATGTAGACCAGGCTGGCCTTGAACTCACAGAGATCCGCCTGCCCCCAAAATTAAAACTAAACCAAACCAAAACAAAACAAAACAAAACAAAAACTCTGCTGCTGAGTTGTCAATATGATTCTCATAAAAAATTGTTAAATTAATTGAGCTTGGGATTAGGATAGAAAAATGGCCCTAAACATTACCAGTAAATGCTTAATTTGTACACCTTTATATACCTATATATCTGGGGCCATGTGAAAATTTCCTGGGTGAAAGGGGCTGGTAAGCAGATGTTTAGAAGCCTGCTTCATAACTCACTGCCATCTTGGTACTCACGTCAGGGCTCATGAATTACTATTATCAGTAGTTCCTATAAGAACTCATATTAAATGCTGTGCAAGATATGGTTATTCAAGTCCAAAACAGATAAATCTATATAGAGAGTAGTGTAATGGTGGCTTAAGGTCAGTGACAGAAGAGTAAGGACTAGGCATGAAATTCATTTGGGGTGATGAAAATGTTCCAAAGTAGAGGCTGGAGAGATGGCTCAGTGTTAGGAGAACTGGCTGCTCTTGCAGAGGACCCAGGTTTGGTTCCCAGCACTCACATGGCAGCTCTCAACCATCCATAACTGCAGTTCCAGGAGACAGAATGCTCTCGTCTGTCCTCCACAGGCACTGTATGCAGTGGTCACATACATACACACAAACAAACTTATATACATAAAATAAAAACAAAAAATTTAAAAAATGTTCTAAAAGTAAGTTGTGATGATGGCTACCCAACTCTGTAAATACATAAAAAAATAGGGGGTAGAGAGATGTTCAGTGGTTAAAAGCAGAGAACCAGGTTCAATTCCCAGCACCCACATCGGGGCTAACAACTATCCATAACTCCAGTTCCAGGGGAATCTGACAGCTTCTTCTGACTTCTGCAGGAACTGCATGACATGGGTGCACTTACACACATGTAGGCAATACGCTCATACACATAAAATAAAAAATAAGCTGGGTGTGGTGGTGCACACCTTTAGTCCCAGCACTCAGGAGGCAGAGGCAGGCAGATTTCTGTGAGTTCAAGGCCAGCCTGGTCTACATAGTAAGTTCCAGGCCAGCTGGGGCTACAGGGAGACCCTGTCCCAAAAAGACCGAAAAAAAAAAAAGAAAAAGGATTGTATCATTAAAATAAGTGAAGTTCCTATGACATATAACAATGTCTCAATAAAGCTGTTTAAAGAAGCAAAAAGGTTACACTTATCTGCAGTAGACTTTTTTCATTGAAGTAGATACAAGCACCAGACATCAAAACCTATAAAGGTAGTGAGCTGTGGTGGTGCATGCCTTTAGTTCCAGTACTCACAGAGGCAGACGGATCCAGGACAGCCTGGTCTACATTGTGAGTTCCAGACTAGTTGGGGTTATAGAGAGAACCTGCCTCACAAAACAACAAAACAAAACAAAACAAAACAAAAACCAAGAAAAACTATAAAGGTAATGACTTAAGGAAAAACAAAAACATGAATTTGCTTAATATTATTTGAAAAACAGTCACAAGTGATAACAATTCTTACCCATATTTGCCAATAACCCTGAAATTGCTTGAACATCAGCTCCAAGAAAGACTTCATTGAGAGTTGAAACCACTGGCAAGCACAAAGTGTGGACTCGGATTCTTCTCTCACCTTAGGGAAAAAAACATGTGAGGGACAGCTACATATAAAAAGGTTATGCTAAACTCACTTCTTTTTCTTTTCTTTTGCTTAATATCATTTCCTGGACAACTGCTTTATTTATTATTAACATGCACTTACTGATTGAATGACTGTGTGGAGGCCAGAGGACAACTTAGGGAATGAGTTCTCTCCTTCTACCATGTGTGCTCCAGGAACTGAACTTAGTGATATATCAGTCTTGCCAACGGGTGCCTTTACCTATTAAGCCACCTCGCCAGCCCCTAAAGTCAATTCTGTTTCAATTTAGAACCAAGTATGGTCACACAATAACACCACAAACTATCAGTAAAAATTATTATTATTTTTTTTGGTTTTTTTGAGACAGGGTCTTCCTACAGCCCCAGCTGGTCTAGAACTCACTATGGAGACAAGGCTGGCCTTGAACTCACAGGGATCTGCCTACCTCTGCCTCCAGTGTGCTGGGACTACAGGCCTGCACCACCACACCCAGCCATCACGTTTTTTAATGTTGTGTTTAAGTGCTTTTTCATGCATGGACACCCATGTATGCAGTGTCCACAGATGTCTGAAGATGTCAGATCCCCTTGAACTGGAGATATGTATGGCACTGGAAACCAAACCTGCATTCTCTACAAGAGCAGCCTGTGCTCTTAACTACTGAGCCATCTCTCCAGCCCTGTCTACTGTATTTTTTTTTTTCCCTTTTACCAAACTACAGTCCGCGAAACTATTGAGTTTATTTGGCTTACTTATAGAGCAATGAGAAAGGATTACTTACAGGAGTATGGGTGCTCCTTCTCCTAAGGCCACACTACAAAGTCTTCATCCAAGTGTGGATGGTGACTTCCCCATGGTCACACAAAATAGTGAGAGCACTATTGTATTTTTAAAAAATATTTTATGTTTATTTTATGTGTATGAGTGTATTGCCTGCATGTGAGCGCACTCATGTGCAATATCTCAGAAGAGGGCTTCGGATTCCCCTGGAACTGGAGTTAAGGATGGATCATAGCCACCATGTGGGTGTGCTAGGAATCAAACCCGGGTCCTCTGCAAGAGCAGTCAGTGCTCTTAATCACTGAGCCATCTCTCCAGCCCCTCTATTGTATTTTTATAGACAGCCTTTCTTTGAACCTGTAGCCTATCATTTCCAGTACACTGGCTGTCCAGCAAGACCCCAGAATCTGCCTGTCTCCACCCTGTAGTACTGCAGTTACAGATATGTACCACTATACCTGGTTTTTATGTGATTACTGGGGATCTAAATGAACTCAAGTCCTTATATTTGTGCAGCAAGCACCTTACCTACTAGGCCCTCTCCAGTCCCAAAATGATTTGTTTTTCTTCAAAATTTTAATCATTTTCCTACATGTATGTAAGTGTACCCCTGTTGTACAATGCCTTTGAAGGTCAGAAGAGGGTGCTGGAGCCCTTGGAACTGGAGTTATGAACCCAGGTCCTCTGCAAGAGCAGTCAGTGCTCAAAATCACTGAGCAATCTGTCAAGCCTCAAGATTTATTTTTATTATTTGTGTGTGTGTGTGTGTGTGTGTGTGTGTGTTCGTTCTGTCTGTGAGTGTATGCCAAGTGTGTGTGGATGCCCAAAAATGCCAGAAGAGAGTGCAGGATCCTCTGGAGCCAAAGGTGTAGGTGGCTATGAGCTGCCCCATGTGGGTGCTGCTTACTGAACTCATGTCCTCTTAAGAGCTGAGCTAGTTCTCCAGTCTAAAGGCATCTTACTTGTTTTTAAAGGCTTGGAGAAAGGGTCAAAAATGCTTCACCTGGGAGACCTAATTATTTCCACAAAACCCATTTAGATAATCCTCAATACTCTACTACCTTTTTATCACAGATTTCTCTCAGAAGTCATTTGTTCCCTCAGTAATAATCTCTAAACTCTCTTCTGGGAAGGGTTAGACACGTTATGCCATTGCTTCCATGTCGGATGGTTGACCTTGAGCCTGCATGGAGCAAGCTGGCCCCAGACTTCAACAAATCCACATTTCTTTGCCTCCAATTCTTACGTGTCCAAGGACAGAGAACCAAAAACACGCCTTTGCAGGAGGGTCTAATGGGATTTTTTTAAACCAGAGTGTCAGATCACAGCAGACTTTCAACAAATATGTTATCAGGAATGGTGGGTGATATATGCCTACAGTCCCACTACATGGGAACCTGAGGCAGGAGAGACTCAAGTTCAAGGCCAGTCTGGTCTACAAAGGGATATCTTATTAAAGAAAGGAAGAGAGGCAGGGAGAGGGGGAGGGGAAGGAAAGGAGTAAAGAAATAGAAGGGGTGAGGGAAAGGAAGGGGAAAGGCAAGGCAAGAGAATTTTAAATAAAATGGTTTAGGAAAATAAAGACAAAGTAAGAAATGGAGGCGGGGAAAAGGAACAAATTTAAGTGAAATGGTTTCAGAAAATAGACAAATCTCAAGGCTCTTATGATTATGAGTATCTGTTGGCTTAACAGAAATAAGCAAATAAGTTCAAAGAAAAGAAATATCATATAAGCTACAGAAGACATTAGCACATGAAAACTTACCTTCATGGTTACACTGAATTGTAAGCTTACAAACTTAAGATAGCAGACCTCATGTTTTTTGTTTTTTATTGTTTTTATCTTATATGTATGAGTGTTTTGTGTGCATGTATATAAATGCACCTATGTAATGCAATGCCCATGGAGCTTAAAAGAGGGTGTCAGATCCCCTGGAACTGCAGTTACAGATGGATGTAGCCCCCATGTGGGTGCTGGGAACCAAACCCAGGTCCTCTGCAAGAGCAGCTAATGCTCTTAACCACTGAGCAGTCTGTGCAGCCCCTAGATCTCATGTTTTATGTGACAATGAAAGCAAACAAAAACTTACCTTTGCTTGATGTATACAAGAGTGCTGACTGAAAAGAAACCAATTGAGTGTCAGTGAGACTTTCTTCTACTGACATCTGTACTGCATACCCAGCATCTGGGTTGACATTGGGTAGAGACAGTAAGTCTGTAGACCGGACAAAGAAGTTCCCATGGAAAGTATGAATGGAAAGACCTAGAACAGAAAAAATTACCACAATGACTATTATGTGCCTACTTACAGACATTTATATTATCAGATAGTTAAAAGTTTAGATAATACATAGTGAGACCGAGGGGTATTAAGTATCTTCTTTTTTTGGTCTTTTTGAGGCAGGGTCTCCCTGTAGCCCAGGTGCCTTGAACTCATGGAGATTTGCTTGCCTCTGCCTCCCAAGTACTGGCCTTGAACTCACAGAGATCTCTGCCTGGGATTAAAGGCTTGTGCCACCACGCCCGGCCTTAAGTGTCTTCTTAAATGACAGTGAGGATGTATGTTCAAAACAGTTCTTGGAGGCCATTTGTCAGTATATACCAACATTTTCTTATTTTTTGAAAGTTTCTCTTTGTTATATTTATTCATTTATTTGAGGGGAGGGGTGCCAATGCGTCACAGCACACATGTGGGGGGGTGGTCAAAGGAACTTGTGGGAACTGGTTCTTTCCTTCCACCATGTGGATCCCAAGGATTGAATCCACACGTTAAGGCTTGGCAGCAAGTGCCTTTACACACTGAGTGATCTGTCTGGTTCTAATACCAGCATTTTAAATGGATACTTACTAGAACTCTAGTAATTTTTTTCATAAATTTTTAAAAATTTATTTTTATGTGTATGAGTGTTTTGGCTGGGGCTACAAGGAGACCCTGTCTCGGTTTAAAAAAAAAAAAAAAAAAAAAAAAGCCATGCATGGTGGGACATACTTTTAGTCCCAGCAGAGGCAGAAGGATCTCTGTGAGTTCCAGGCCAGCCTGGTTCCAGGCCAGTTGGGGCTCCCTTAAAAAAAAAAAAAAAATTATCTTGGCTGGAGAGATGGTTCAGTGGTTAAGAACACTGGCTGCTCTTGTAGAGTGATGCAGTTGTAGAGTGAATCAGTTCAGTTCTGCAAAAGGTGAATCAAGGACAAGATAGAGTCTAGCTATCTCTTGAAAAACAAGAATGTTTGGACATTGGCGGACCACCTTTTCCCAGAGTCAAGGGCAGAACACTGCCTTGGGATAGTAAGAATGATAGTGGATAGGCTTGTGCTTTCCTTTTTATGGACTGGTGCTCTGGGGCAAGAGTTTGGTTAGTAAGAGAAAAGAAAAACAACATTTTGCTTCGAACTTGATTTATGTTTTGCATGCTGCATCCTTGGCTGACCCTGCTCATTAGGTATAAAGAACCACTCTTAAGCCAGGCGTGGTGGCACACGCCTTTAATCCCAGCACTTGGGGGGCAGAGGCAGGCGGATCTCTGTGAGTTCAAGGACAGCCTGGTCTACATAGCGAGTTCCAGGACAGCTGGGGCTATAGGGAGACCCTGTCTCAAAAAAGACCAAAAAAAAAGGAACCACTCTTAGAATTAAATTAGCCTTTCTCCACCTGAGAGCTGGGTCCTTTGCCTTCATTCATTTCGCCATCCACCAGAAGACCTGAGTCTCTATAGCAGAGGGACGCAGGTTTGGCAGCTAGCACCCACATAGTACCTAACAACTATCTGTAACTATAGTTCTGGAGGATCCAATGCCCTCTTCTAGCCACAGATGCACTCATATACACACACAAGCAAACACTCATACACATAAAATAAAAACAAAAAGATTAAAATATTTATTTTATCTGTGTGTGTATACTATGTGTATGCAGGTGCTTGAGGAGGCCAGAAGAGGGCATTAGCTCCCTCGAGCTGGAGTTACAGGGGGTTGTGAACTATCTGATGTGGGTACTAGAAACTGAACTCAGGTCCTCTGCAAGAGCAGCAAGCCCTCTTGACCTCTGAGTCATCTCTCCAGCCCCCATAAAATAATAATTTTTTTTTTGTCTTTTTGAAGCAGGGTCTCCCTGTAGCCCCAGCTGTCCTGGAACTCACTATGTAGACCAGGCTGGCCTTAAATTCATGGAGATCTGCCTGCCTCTGCCTCCCAAGTGCTGGGACTACAGGCGTGCGCCACCACGCCTGGCTAAAATGTACCATTTTAAGGTACACAGTTCAGTAATGTTAAATATATTAACAATACTCCCTATTTTGTTTGTTTGTTTTTGAGACAGGATCTCCCTGTAGCCCCAGCTGTCCAGGAATTTTCTATGTAGACCAGGCTGGCCCTGATCTCACAGAGACCCATCCATCTCTACCTCCTGAGTGCTGGGATTAAAAAAAGCCTGTGCCACCACACCCAGCTCAACAGTCCCTATTTTTTTTTTTTATGGTCTTTTGAGACAGGGTCTCCCTGTAGCCCCAGCTGTCCTGGAACTCACTATATAGACCAGGCTGGCCTTGAACTCACAGAGATCGGCCTGTCTCTGCCTCCCGAGTGCTGGGATTAAAGGAATATGCCACCACACCCGCTTAACAGTCCCTATTTTTTAGAGTGTTTCTTTTCTCTTAATTGCATACTGTATAATTTCATATTTGAAAAATCAGCAAAGTACCTCAGCAGGGTAAATTCTCTAAGACTAGGTAAAAGTTTGTATTTTTATTGGTATAAAAAAACAATACGGGGCTGGAGAGATGGCTCAGCGGTTAAGAGCACTGACTGCTCTTGCAGAGGACCTGGGTTCGATTCCCAGCACCCACATGGCAGCTATGAACGGTCCTTAACTCCAGTTGCAGGGAAATCTGAAGCCCTTCTTCTGACCTCCATGGCATTGCACAACACGGGTGCACTGACATACATGCTGGTAATATACTCACACACATAAAATTTAAAAAATAATAATAAAAAATAAAAAAACACAAAACAATATGTACTCTTATGAGGCAAAAGAAAGTGTTCCCACCTTTGGTGCAGCGGATCCTCATGACTGCCTCAAATCCAATTTTCCGAGTGAGGTACCTCTGTAGCTCCTTCTGTAATTTCTGTACTTGCACTGGATTGTGCTGATGATGGTAAGAGGGATAGTAGTAGACACTACCTGCTGAGTACCGAGAAATACACCCTGGAAGAGAACACACGCCTTGTATTCACTCCTTTATTCACTTCTATTCACACATACACACACACACACACACACACACACACACACACACACACACAGAGACATGCACACGGACACACAGATACACACATACAATTTATTAGAGGTAGGGTTTTGCTATATACTATAGCCCAGATTGGCTTAAAATTTATGATTTTCAAATCTCAGCCTCCCAACAAACTCTTTTAAAATAGTGCTGTAACTACTAAAACTACACACTAAAGTAACTTTACACATTTGACTCCATTTTCTTTAACTTCACAAGGTACTGTCAAAAAGAATACTCTACTTCTTTACATAGTGGTATAGCAAGCAATTTGTTTCCCTCATGCTAAAGAGTAGAAAAATATCCAGTTTTTTTTTTTTAACAGATTAAACTGACTAATTCAGCCAGTGACCAGGGATGGCACATGCCTATAGTTGCAGCTACTGAGGAGGAAGGTGTTGGGGAGTAAGGATCATTACTGAGTCTAAGATTTGGAGACCAGCTTGCATAACACAGAAAGTCTCCATTTCAAAAAAACGAAAACTGGGCTGGCTCAGCCGGTAAAGATGCCTGTCAACAAGCCTGATGATCTGAGTTGGATCTTTGAGACCCCCACAATAGAAGAGAATAGACTCCTGTATGCTGCTCTCTGAGCTTCATATACATCTACATACATTCACATACACAAATAAATAAATGTAAAAGAAATTTTTTCTAAGGAACTTGCAACAATGACAAACATTGACTCAGAAATAAAACTTTTTTTTTTCTTGATCCTCTATTTAGAATTCATCATATAAACACCATTTAATCAGTAAGAAGAACTCATTGCTGGGCGTGGTAGCACCCAGCACTGCAATCCTAGCACTTGTGAAGCAGAAGCAGGAGAATCAGGAGGTCAAGGTTATCTTTGGATACACAGCAAGTTTAAGATCAGCGTTACATGAGACCTTGTCTCAAAAAAAGAAAAAAGAAAAAAAGAAAAGACCATACCTAGAGAAGCCAAATCAGAATATTGCCCACTGAGAAGGAATAAATCAACAGCCACCTGCTGACCAGAACAGTCTAGGGCTAATTTCTTATAGAAGTCGGTAGATGGTGTCAAGTGTATTTCCTATGAATAGCAGAGTACAAAGAGAAATTTTAAAAGCATATCAAAAAATGTAAATATATATTGCAGTGTTAACAACAATCATTTCTAAGCATTTTACACAATCTTTCTGCCTTCTAGATTATGATTTTTCATTTGGAAGCATGTGCTAGCCTGGGGTGTGGCATACATCTATAATCCCAGTGTGAGAGACTTGAGGAGCACTGTGAGTTTAAGGCTAGCCTGGGTTACAAAGAGAGTCTTTTTTCAGACAGGGTCTCCCTGTAGCCCCAGCTGTCCTGGAACTCACTATGTAGACCAGGCTGGCTTTGAACTCACAGAGATCCACCTGCCTCTGCCTCCCAAGTGTCTGGATTAAAGGCGTGCACCACCATGCCCAGCACAAAGAGTCTTTTTTAAAAAAATATTTTATTTATTATTTTTATTTTATGTGTATGAGTGTATTGCCTGCATGTAGGTAAGTACGCCTGTGTCCTGCAATGCCCTCGGAGGACAGAAGAGGCTGTCGGATCCCTTGGAACTGGAATTATGGACAGTTGTTAGCTGCCATGTGGGTGCTGGGATTCGAACCCAGGTCTTCTGCAAGAACAAGCAGTGTTCTTAACTGCTGGGCCATCTTTCCACCCCACTTTTAAAAAAATTTTTAATTTATTTTTTTTGGTTGTTAGTCTGAGCCTTTAACAGCCGAGCTATCCCTCCAGCCGGCTCAGCGGTTAAGAACACTGGTTGTTCTTGCAGAAGACCCAGGTTTGAATCCCAGTACCCATATGGCAACTAACAACTGTCTGTAACTCCAGTTCCAGGGGATTCAATGGCCTCTTCTGTCCTCACGGGCACTGCACAACACGGGTGCACTTACCTACAAATATATATTTTATTTATTATGAGAGCCCTTTTCAAAAAAATAAGAAAAGCACGTATTGCTTAAAGTACTTTCTGAGGGTTTTATGCTTGTTTTGTTTACTAAGAAAAATAAATCTCTACGACATTAATTTTATAATAGGCCAAGTAATTATTAATGTAATTAAACTTACTAAATGTTCAATATGCCGGGAACTTTCTAAACAATTTATATCTAGCATGTATTTAGTCCTTTCATTTACCTAAGAGATAGGGATTATCATTTTCACTTCATATCCACGGAAACCAAAGGATGTCACTCATGAAGAACGGAAGTGTAAACACCTAAAGCAGGACTTGGGACAGTCTGGCTCCAGGAATGACAGGTAACTAACTATATATTTGCTTCTCTGTCATCATCTCTTGGGAAATGAAACCTCTTACACTTATGCAAACAAGGTGGTCAAAAGCAATCCCTGCTGCTAGTCTACCAGATTATAGCCATTCCTAGTGGCTGTCTTGGTTCCACTTTGTTCCCTAGCAAGTGCATTATCTCAGTCTTCCAGACTTTCTCATCAAAGTCAGGTTGGATTTCCAGTAGCCTGATAAAGACATTAAAGATAATAAACCCAGGGCTGGAGAGATGGCTCGGCGGTTAAGAACACTGGTTGTTCTTGCAGAAGACCTGGGTTCGAATCCCAGCGCCCACATGGCAGCTAACAACTGTCCATAACTCCAGTTCCAAGGGATCTGACAGCCTCTTCTGTCCTCCGAGGGCACTGCATGACACGGGTGCACTTACCTACATGCAGGCAATACACACATACACATTAAAAAAAAAAAAAAGATAATAAACACAGATGAATCAGGTAGGTAGAGAAAAATGTAATAAAATAGTTACATGTACATAAACTCTTTACTCATTTATAGTCCCTCCTGCCCCCAACTGAAATACTGGCCTGCAGGCATGTCTGAGAGGCATTTTCTTGATTGCTAATTGATGTAGGAGGGCTCAGCCTGCTATAGGCTGTGCATCTTGGGAAGGTGAGTCTGGGCTGTATAAGAAAGGTCACCGATTGTGAGCCTGGGAGGAAGCCAGGAAGCAGTGTTCAGCCTCTAAGGTCTCTGCTTCAGTTCCAACCTTCCAGTTTCCTGCTTGAGTACCTGCCCTGACTTCCCTCAGTGATGAACTGTGACATGGAAGTGTAAGCCAAATAAATCCTTTCCTCCCCTAGGTTGCTTTTGGTCATGCTATTTATCACAGCAACAACAAACAAATTAGAACACCAGCAGAAATTGTATGATACACGTGCTGATTCTAACCTTGGCAGATGACCTTTGGTTGGGTTCCTCTCGAGGTTTCAGGGCTCCCACTCCAAGAGTTGGGAGTTGTGTTTGAAAGACAGACATCCGACCACCAGTTGGTGACATCAGCTTAAAGGCAGCCTGAAGTGCAGGACCCAAGGCACTCTGGGTTTCCAGAGTCTTAGTAAACATTTGTGGCAAAGTTTTCAGTAAGTCTTGGACGAGCTTGTGAAATAAAGCAATAAAACTCAAGAATGTTACAATTAAATTTTTTTCACACTAAGTCAGTATCTAATACAATAGACAGGACACTGAGTCATGATGATGGTCAGAGAATCTACAGACACTACAATAAACAATGAAGTTGATCAAATGACAAGAAAGCCATTTTAAGTAAACATTATAAATTGGCAAGCAACACATCAAAATTGGGGCCTTACAGTTCTTGCACATGCAATATTCTAGCAAGACTGTAAGTCCAGAATGTATGCAAAAGAACCATTATGATTTAGAAATTAGATATATTTTAATGCCATGAAACATGGCTTTCTCCATCACCTTTACATACTTTATTCTGAGTTGAACTCTTCCCTATTGCAAAATCTAAGATATCCAGTAACGATACCAACTAGTAATATTACTACAAAAGAAAAATAAAATAAAAACCAGCTACCTGTTTAAGGAAAGTTGTGCAAATAAAGAGAAATAATGGGGAAAAAGATACTTTGTGCTATGGCACAGTGACCACTGCCAACAGTGGAGACCATAGACGCACTAGTTAAATGTTACCCCTACGGCATATATGCATGTACAGGGTAGACAACATCCCCCCTTCAGACACATTCTGTTCACCTCTCACTGTATTATGTCATGGCAATTTCCAGGCAGGTAATAAGAGTTTCTTCTGAACTGACCACAATGACACTCTGTGAATCAGAAAAGCAAACGGCACTGAGAGCAGCCTGGCTAACGTCCTTCTGTATAGTGACCAGCAGTGTTCTTCCAGCACCCTCCCTCTCCCCACACGCTGGCAGGACAGGACTCCTCGGGGTGCTCTTCCCTCTGGAAGACGCTTCTCTTCTCTTCTACTGCAAAGAACTTGCTGCCTTAGACTAAATGATCAGCACAAGACTGATCTCAAGAACTGTTCATCTAATAAACTAAGAGCCAAGAGAAAATGCTACATGGCCTAGAAATGCCAAAGAAAGAAGCAAAACTTTCAAGTTCATAGAAAAAATAAGTATTCAATAATAAAATTAAACATGGCAGGTAGGAAAATGTGCCTTACCTCTTTACTTTCATTTAAATTTACTAGTAGGTTCTCTGGCATAGGTATAAAAACATCTGAAAGAATAAAGATGTAGTTCATGTAAACAAAAGTGTCTGTATATGTTGGCCGTGTGCAATGAACTACGACATATTTAAAGAAAAGCCCTTCCTCCACTATCACAGCACTGCCTCCACAGGCTAAAAGAGCCTCAAAAAAAAAAAAAAAAAATGCCAGTTCACATGTTTATTGCATATTCTTACTTTTTATCTTCTGCCTTATAGAAAATATTATCTGTAAGCACTCAGCAAGGGGGTGTGTCAGTAAATTGCTTCCTAAGTTAAAGACCACAATTTAAAAGCTGGGCATGGTAGTGCCTATGATCCTAGTACTTGGTAGGCTGAGGCAGGACTGCTGTGACTTCGAGGCCAGTTAGGTCTATACAGTGAGTATCAGTCCAGCTAGGGCTACAAAGTAAGTCTCTGTCTCAAGACCGTCTCAAGACCAACCGATCGACCGACCAACCAACCAAAGGCCACAATCTAGAATCTTGCTTTACCTTATAATCTCTCTTTTTCTTTTACTTTTTAAAATTATTTGGTAATTTGTATTTTAATTGTATGGATGTTTTGCTGCATGTATCTAAGTGCACAGTAAGTGTGCAGTGCTTGTGGAGGCCAGAAGAGGGCATCAGATCCCCAGGAACTAGAGTGGTTAATGGTTGTGAGACATCATGTGGGTCCTGGGAACTGAACCCTTCTCTGCAAGAGCAGCCAGGGCTATGACCAGTGAGCCATCTCTCCAGCCCCTTTCTTTCTTTTTTGAGATACAGTCTTACTATGTAGATAAAACTGGTTTGGAACTGAGAAACCTCCTGCCTCTGTCTCCCTATCACACACTATGCCAGCTGTACACTATATACCTGGCTTATAAAATATTGTTAAGGGAAAAAGAAAAAGTCCTGTTCAAGGCCAGCCTCAGCTACATAGCAAGTTCAAGTCTAGCCTGAGCTACACCAGAGCTTGTCTGAAAACAACAAAAAATTTTACTTATTGGTATTTTTAGACGCTTCATAAAAATTCTCAAGCAAATCAATATAGAAATATGTGAACTTGGCCGAGTGTGGTGGCGCTCACCTTTAATCCCAGCACTTGGGAGGCAGAGGTAAGCGGATCTCTGTAAATTCAAGGCCAGCCTGGTCTACATAGTGAGTTCTAGGACAGCTGGGGCTACAGGGAGATCCTGTCTCAAAAAGACACACACACAAAAAAATGTGAACTCATTTTTCTTATAATTCTCTAAGCACCCATGTTTTCTCCCTAGTTTACTTCCATCTAAGAAAAGGAATTTATTTATTTATTTATTTATTTAATTTTTTGAGACAGGGTCTCCCTATAGCCCCAGCTGGCCTGGAACTCACTATGTAGACCAGGCTGGCCTCGAACTCATAGAAATCCACCTGCCTCTGCCTCTGCCTCCCAAGTGCTGGGATTAAGGGTATGAGCCACTACACCAGGCAGGAATTTAATTCCCACTGGGCTGTGTTTTTACTCTCCGTAGAGGGTTCTCTGATATACCGGTATTTTTTTGTTTTGTTTTACAGTGCTCTGGATCAAACCCAGAACCTTGCAAATGCTAAGCAAGCATGCTACCATTTAGTTACATCCCTGGCCACAAAAGCTTTTAATACATATTTTTTTATAGACAGGGTTTTATTATGTACCCCAGGTTGGCCTCAAACTCATGATCCTCCTTACTCAGCCTCCTGAGTGCTGGGATTATACATATATACCACCATATCCAGCAAAAGGATTTTGGTTTTTTTATGAGACAGGGTCTCATTTATTCTAGACAGGCACTGAATTCACTATATAGTTGAGGATGACTTGACCTTGAACTTCTGATCCTCCTGTCTCTTTTTGTTTTTAAGACAAGGTCTCACTATGTAGCCCTGGGTAGTCCAGGAGGCTTGGAACTCACACTACTGAGCTTGCCACACTACTTTTCTATGTCCATACTCAATTTTCTTTGTTGTTTACATGGCACTGGCCAGGCAGGAGCTCTCCCAAGGAGTTATAACCCCAGCCCTCAAATATTTTTTGGGTGTATAAATAGAAAGGAAAGGAAAAGAAACTTCAAAATTTAACCTGAGCTCTAACATTAACTTGTCTTTGTTTCCTACTCAGAAATCATTTTACTCCCATAACCCTGTTTCCTCTCTGACAAAATGAAAGACTGAACTCAAGGATTCTTACAAGTCTATTACTCTAACACTTTTTTACTCAAGATTTTCCTTCAGCCTGGCATGATAGCACAAAAATTTAAGGCCAGTCTGGGCTATACATAATAACACTGTCTCAAAAACAAACATTTTCCTTCATTATAGTAGACTCATACTATATAGTCCTAATTTTCCAAATATTTCTCAAAGGGAAAATTCCCAAGGCAGCTCAATATTTTTTTTCTTTTCTGAGAAAGGGTCTCTCTGTAGCCCCAGCTGGCCTTGAACTCAAAGAGATCCAGCTGCCTCTGCCTCCCGAATGCTGGATTAAAGGTATGTACTACCATACCCACAGCTCAATAAATTTAAGTGTATAAGATATACCTTCAATATCTGAGACTATCAGCATCTGAGGCTGAGAAAGGCCTTCTTGAAGACTGTAAAAGTGGACTGTGCTGTCAAATGTTATGAAGCCGATCTTTGTCCTCGTGTTGCCAGGAAGCCTAAGGACAGATTCAGAAAAGTTTGATCAAGTGTTCCTGTACACAGACACACACACACACACATACACACACACAAAATCTGCTGGACAGTGCATGTATCTAATTTAGTAGTATAGAAAATGGCCCAACATAAACAGATATTTACACCAGCCAATGTTTACTTACCATATAAAGACCCTCAAGTTAAAAGTAATCAGAGAAAAACAGCAATGACACAGCAATTTGAAACATTACTTCTATACAGTTATAATTTCTTTTTCTTTTTTATTTTTTTGGTCTTTTTGAGACAGGGTCTCCCTGTAGCCCCAGCTGTCTTGGAATTCACTATGTAGACCAGGCTGGCCTTGAACTCAGAGATCAGCCTGCCTCTGCCTCCCGAGTGCTGGGATTAAAGGCGTGTGCCACCATGCCCGGCCCAAGATGTATGATCTTAAAAAAAAAAAACAAAAACAGGAAAATAATGTACAAAATTGTAGCCAATTTAAAGTTATCTTATAAAAAATGTTTCAGGAACTGGGAGTTTAGCTCAGTGGTAGAGAACTTGGCAGGTGCAAGACCCAGGGTTAATCCCCAGCACTACAAAACAAAACAAAAAAGAATGCTTTTAAAAACTTATAGCATTTTAAAATGTAATATAGGAATTGGAGAGATGGCTCAGTAGTTAAGAGCACTGGCTGCTCTTGAAGAGGACCCAGGTTTGGTTCCCAGCACCCACATGGCAGCTGACAACCAACTGTAACTCCAGATCCAGGAGATCCAATACCCTTTTTTGGCCTGTGCAGGCACTGCACAACTCGGGTACACTTGTACATTCAGGCAAAACATGCATACACATAAAATTCAAAAATTTTTGGATGTAATATAAATTTTAGCTAGTGTACCTATTTACAAAACACTGCACAAACATTTTATGTTGTTCAGTGCATTTAAGAACAAAGAGTAGAAAAAGTATCTTCTTTAAAGAACAAAAATATGCCAGATGTGATGGTGCATGCCTTTAGTCCTAGCACTCAGGAGGCAGAGGCAGGCAGATCTCTGTGAGTTCAAGGACAGCCTGGTCTACATAATGAATTGCAGGCCATCTGGGGCTACAGGGAGACCCTGTCTCAAAAAGACAAAAAACAAACAAACAAACAAACAAAAACCCAAAACATAAGGAACTACAGTTTCTTACAGAGAAAGAAACCAGCTTCTAGCCTTGTTCATGTCTGGATGATTCATTGAACCCTCTGGGCTACCCTCTACCCCCACACACCATCTCTAACATGAAAAGTACAGGGATGCCCTTTTCACCAATCTGAAAGTGTCCCTCCATTTGTGACCAGATTTGGTCTAGTTTTTATAGGTTCCATCATGTGTAAGCAACATGTAAAATACAGTAATTTTTTTTTTTCTGTCTTTTTGAGACAGGTCTCCCTGTAGCCCCAGCTGGCCTGGAACTTACTATGTAGACCAGGCTGGCCTCTAACTCACAAAGATCCGCCTGCCTCTGCCTCCCAAGTGCTGGGATTTAAAAAAATACAGTAATTTTAGTCGGGTGTGGTGGCACACGCCTTTAATCCCAGCACTTGGGAGGCAGAAGCAGGAGGATCTTTGTGAGGCCAGCCTGGTCTACATAGTGAGTTCCAGGCCAGCTGGGGCAACTGGGAGACTCTGTCTCAAAAAGACAAAAAAAAACAAAAAAGAACAACAACAACAACAAAAAAACCCAGTAATTTTAAGAGACACAAGTTCTGACGAGGAAACAGTGTGTACACTCTTTGAATTTTTATTCCAACGAGCCTATGGTAATTTTTTTTTTTTTAACTAGGAATGAAAAATGAACTGGGCAATGAAATCATACTATGGCCTTGCATGATGGCTCAGGGCCCCAGAGACCGAGGCAGGAAGACTGCAGGAGTTTCAGGCAGGTCTTGACTACAGTGAGATTTTATGTAATACCTTTGCTTGCTGTGAGAGTACCGTAGTTACAGTTAAGAGCAGTGGGGTATTCAAAGGTAAATTAATGTACTGGCTCAGATTTGCTTGTAAACTGTCAGGGAAGAAAGTGTGTGAAAGAGGATTATGTGAAGGAAATAGCAGCACACTGCAGGTGCAGCTCCACATCCTTCAGAAACTTAGAATACTTCAGATTGGTGAGAAGCACACCTCTATTGTGGCCAGTATTTGTTTTTTTCATGTTACAGGTTGTGTGTGAGGATGGAAGGGAGCCAAGAGGGTCCACTACGTCACTTCATCATCCCATGGAAAGGACTATGGCGTTATTCTTCTGCCTACTACAGGTTTATAAGTAAAACCGAAGTAGTGTTTTAGAATACAATTATATACTCTTTTTTTCTTTTTTTTTTTTTTTAGTCTTTTTGAGACAGGATCTCCTGGCCTGGAACTCACTATGTAGACCAGGCTGGCCTTGAACTCACAGAGATCTGCCTGCCTCTGTCTCCCAAGTACTGGGATTAAAGACATGCATTAACCAGGCCCAGCTCAACCACACCCAGCTCAATAATATACTATTATAAAAACACTAGTTCTTCATTTGAAGACACTATTAGTTTCAAATTGAAGCTGAATTGACACACTTACAGGTCCAGATTGTCTAACAAACTCTGGCAAACTGAATTCAAGTATCCAGTTTCAACTGCATTGTGAGACACATCAAGTACAAAGAGGTACACTGGAGGTTGTGGAGGTCGCAACTAAAGAAAAAAAATCCAATTAAATACATATAGCAGAATTAAATTTAAACTTATATGTTAGGTTCACATACAGCAAAAACCATAAAATTTATTTACAGACTAAGGGAATCAACTGGTTCACTATTATTCTGTTTACGATGCATTCTTGAAGACGAGTATGCATGCCATAATTCAGAAGTATAAGAAAGACGAAAAGGATCTAAGGGCTCTGGCAGTACTGGCAACGTCATACCTTGATCAAGGCAGTGCTAACAAAGGCATTCACTTTGTACTTATTGATAAACTATGTATTTGCTTGATTGACTTCTTCCTTCCTTCCTTCCTTTTCTTTTTTTGGGTTTTTGAGACAGGGTCTCCCTGTAGCCCCAGCTGTCCTGGAACTCACTATGTAGACCAGGCTGGCTTCAAACTCACAAAAATCCGCCTGCCTCTGCCTCCAAAGTGCTGGGATTAAAGGTGTGCCCCACCATGCCTGGCTTTTTTTGTCTTTTTGAGACATATAGCCCCAGCTGGTCTGGAACTCACTATTTAGACCAGGCTGGCCTTGAACTCACAGAGATCCACCTGCCTCCCGAGTGCTGGGATCAAAGGCATGCGCCACCACCCCCGGCTTGGTTGACTTTTCTAATGGGCATTATCTTTAATAGTTTAGGGAAATCATAGCTCTGGAAGTGGCAAAACATGTTAGTCTGAGGTAGTTATTTAATTTAGTCAATGCATTTTGGCCAAATTGTATAAAAACATGAGACTCTGTATTTTATAAATTTTCAAATCAAATACTTGTTTTCAATTCAATAAAAAGCATCAAATAAACACAATGAACAAAGAATATAGATTTTTAACTTCCATGTATTTTTGCATTTCACTTGCCAAATTCATAAAACATATAGTATAGCTCAAGAAGCAAGCAAGGGAAGAGCAAAATCTTTTTTTTTTTTTTTTTTTTTTTTTTTTTTTTTTTGGTCTTTTTGAGACAGGGTCTCCCTGTAGCCCCAGCTGTCCTGGAACTCACTATGTGGACCAGGCTGGCCTTGAACTCACAGAGATCTGCCTGCCTCTGCCTCCCAAGTTCTGGGATCAAAGGTGTTTGCCACCACGCCCAGGGAAAAATCCTTTTTGTAAAAAGTTTAAAGAAAGCAATTCTTGTAAAATTTGTGAAATAAAAGGAACTCAGGTATCAGACAGGTCAATTCAAAACAATAATGCTCTTTTAATTTTAATTTGACAGAGACAGCACAGAAAACTGTAAAAGGCTGAGCCATGGGGCAGGATGGGGGGGGACAGGAAATTGGAAGATGTGTTAGGGGATGGCTACCAGGGGTAGTTGGTGGGAAGGTGGATAAAATCAAGAAACATTGTATAAATGCATGAAATTTTTGAAGAATTAAAAAACAACAACTGAGTCCTAATAAATTACACAGTAAAAGGAACCCAATAGCACAGATAACAAAATATACTAAATATGTCACAAATCATACTAAAACAGTGGTAGTGCAATAGCTCTCTTAGTAAAGTGTTTGCCATGTAAACATGAGACCCAAATTCAATCCTCATACCCCATATAATAAAATCAAGGGTACGTTGTACCCAGAGCTGTGAAGGCAGATCTGGGATCCCTTGGGCTCCCTAGCCAGTCAGTCTAGCCTAATCAGTGAGTCTCAAGTCAGTGAGAGACCTTGTCTCAAAAAACAAGGTGGAGGGGCTGCTGGAGAGATGGCTCAGTGGCTAAGAGCACTGGCTGCTCTTGCAGAGGACCAAGTTTGGTTGCACATGGCAGCTAATAACTGTAACTCCAGTTCCAGGAGATTTGACACCCAATTCTGACTTCCACGGCATTGCATGACACAGCAGGAAATACACTCATACACATAAAATAAATAAATAAAAATCAACAACAAAAAACCCCAAGGCACATCTGAGGAATGACAGATACCCAAGGCTGACCTCTGGCCTCCGCACATACCCACAACACATGGGTACTACTGCACACAGACACAAACAAAAACACTAAATCCATAAAGGCTTCGTGTTCCATGTTAGTGTTATCTTCATAGTCCCCTTGCCTTAGAGGCAATTAGGGCATAGTGAAAGAGTAAAACAAAAAACCCTGGATTTTTGTTTTATTTTTATTCCCTTTTAAAACAGGGTTTTTTTGTTTGTTTGGTTCTGGGTTTTTTTTTTTTTTCTGCTTTGTTTTGTTTTTATATAGCTCAGGCTGGCCTTAAACTCACTATATAATCCAGGTTGGCCTTGAACTCCTAATCTTCCTACCTCTACCTTTCAAGCACTAGGATTACACAGCATTATTTATGTATAATAAACACAAAAGTTGGATATAGCCTAAATATAAGTATGATCCCAATAGTACAAACTGCTTGATGAATACATGATATCAAAATGGAAGTTTATATTACTTTTAATTTCCAAACATCCTCATATAACTACTTGTATGTGTGGGTATGCGGGGTGGGGGTGGGGGTATGTGCATGGTGCAAGTGTGGAGATCAGAAGGTAACCTTCAGGAGTTGGTTCTCTCCTTTCATTTTTACGTGGGTTCTAGGTCATCAGGCTAATGCAGCAAGTGCTTTTACTCGCTGTGCATCTCGCTAGTTTTAATAACTGCTTTTATAATGAACAAATATTATACTTTCTCATAAACCTGTTAAAAGATACTACACACATACACGCGCCCACGTGCACGCACACACACACACACGCACGCACGCACGCACACACACACACACATGATATTTGGGGGAGATGTCTTTTGAGACAGGGTCTCCCTGTGCCCCCAGTTGGTCTGGCAATTGCTGTGTAGACCAGGCTGGCCTCCATCTCACAGAGATCCACTTGCCTGTGTCTCCTGAGTTGCTGGGACTAAAGGCGTGCACTACCATGCCTGGCAGAGGATACTATATTGTTTTACTTAAAATTCAGTATTCTGACTGCTGTTGTGGTTCATGACTGTAAATCCTAGCACTTGAAAGGCTGAAGCAGAGAAATGCAGGAACTCTGAGGCTAGCCTCAGCTAAATACAAATACTGGGCCAACTAGGGCATGTAGCAAGAACCTAATTAAAAAATAAAATGAACCAACCCTTCTCCAAGAAAGAAAATGAAAAAGAAAAAGAAATCTTACCATGTATTCTGAAGGCGCCATAAACTCAATAGTGGCATTCTGAACTTCAGGTCTTCTGTGAGGTTCTCCATAAACTCTGGTCAAAGGGTTGTACATGAATTCTTCAGGAACTGTATAAAGTGAACAATATTACATTGGAAAAAAATTCATTTAATACATTGCATTTGGACATTTTCTTAATTTAGGAGGTTGTGATTAATTAAATACAAGCTAAAAATAAAGCAGTAATTTTTCTTTTTTTTTAATTTTCTCTTTTTGAGACAGGGTCTCCCTGTCTCAGCTGACCTGAACTCACTATGTAGACCAGGCTGGCCTTGAACTCACAGAGATCCGCCTGCCTCTCCCCGCTAAGTGCTGGTGTTAAAGGGGGTGCTCACTACACCTGGCATAATTTTTCTTTTAAAAAAAGTTCTAAAAAAATAAATAAATTAAATAAATTAAAAAAAATTCTAGACGGAAGAGACGGCTCAGCGCTTAAGAACACTGACTGTTCTTGCAGAAGATGCGGGTTCAAATCCCAGCACCCACATGGCAGTTAACAACTTGTCCGTAACTCCAGTTCTGGGGGATCCCTCTACAGGCACTGCATGACATGCTGCACTTACCTACATGTAGGCAATACAACGCATACACATAAGGTAAAAATAATAATTTTTTTAAAAAAGTTTTAGTCAAAGTCCTTACATACTAAGAGGAATTTAATAGGCTTTGCTCTTACAACTACAAGTACTGCTGGATCTAGTGGTGCATACTTTTAATCCCAGCACTTGGGAGGCAGAGGCAGGTGCGGCAGGTGGATCTCTGTGAGTTCAAGGCAAGCCTGGTCTACATAGTGAGTTCCAGGACAGCTGGGGCTACAGGGAGACCCTGTCTCAAAAAACACCAAAAAGACAAACAAACAAACAGGCAAACAAAAAAACCCAACTACAAGCACTGTGATTTTTCTTTTCCTATCACTTGATATCCTGTCTAAATTCTTATTTCCTAAAATAGCTTTAAAAGATGATTAAAAAATAGCCTGGCATGGTGGCGCACGCCTTTAATGCCAGCACTCGGGAGGCAGAGGCAGGCAGGTCTCTGAGTTTGAGGCCAGCCTGGTCCCCATTAGTGAATCCAGGCCAGCTGCAGCTACAAAGAGACCATGTCTCAAAAAGACCAAAAAAACCCCCCAAAACAAGAAAATCTCATGAAATGCCAGTTATTTTCTTAAATTTCTCCATTACATAAAGATATTAACCTTTGACATATAAGATATACAGACCAGATGGAACTAGAAAGGTATGGTAAAACTACTTCAGAGATTAAGTCATTAGGAATCTGTAAATATCATTAATAAGACATTTATGGGCCGTCAATTGTCTATTACTTTTAACTCACTAGTGGTCAAAAAGTACTTTATGAATGAACTGTCACTGAACCTGGCTTCCCAGTAATTGTTTAAAAATTAAAATCCTTAAATCCAGTGTGATGGTATTGCCTTTAATCCCAGCACTGGCAAGCATAGGCAGGATCATCTCTATGAGATCAAGATGGGCCTAGTCTACATAGCAAGTTCCAGGCCAGCTGGGGTTACAGTGAGATCCTTCCTAAAACAAAACCAAAACCAAAACAAACCAAAAATTAAAATCCTTGAGCAGGATGTGGTGTCTCATCCCTATAATCCCAGCACATGAAAGACTTGAGACAGGAGGATCACCACAAGTTAGATGCCAGCTTAGGTTATATAGTAAATAACAGACTAACCTAGGGTACAATATGAGTTTCTGTCTCAAAAATCAAACAAAGAGTCAGCAAGGTAGGGCTCAGTAGGTAAGGGCATTTGCTGACAAGCCTGACAGCCTGATTTCAACCCTCAGAAGCCAGATAGTGGAAGGAGAGAACAGACTTCCACCAAGTTGTCCTCTGACCTCCACATGCATGCTGTATATATGCCTGCACCACACACACACACACATACTCAAAGAAAATAAAGAATATAAATAAAGAGGGTTGGAGATGGCTCAGTGGTTAAGAGCACTGACTGCTCTTGCAGAGAACCCGGGTTCGATTTCCAGCACCTACATGGCAGATACAAACCATCCTTAACTCCAGTTCCAGGGGAATTTGAAGCCCTCTTCTGACCTCCGCAGCATTGCACGACATGAGTGCACTCACATATATACAGGCAATACACTCATACACATAAAAAATAAATAAATAAATAAAAGCAGCAGGAAAAAAAAAAAAACAACCTAACATCTGTGTACTCCAAGGGTAAGCTATAGCTCATTCATTAAATAGCTTGAACACATATGAAAAAAGCTTTAATCTTTATCACAATTTCATTTTGTCTGTTACAGCACATACACATAAGAATTTTTAAAAATGGGGCTGGGAGGGGCTGAAGAGATAGCTTAGAACATTGGTTGCTCTTGCAGAAGACCCGGGTTTGAATCCCAGCAACCAGATGGCAGCTAACAACTATCCATAACTCCAGTTCCAAGGAATCCGACAGCCTCTTTTGTCCTCCGCGGAAGTTGCACAACATGGGTGCACTTACTTACATGCAGGCAATACACACATATACATTAAAAAAAAAAAAAAAAGCCAGGTGTGGTGGCGCACGCCTGTAGTCCTAGCACTTGGAAGGCAGAGGCAGACAGATCTCTGTGAGTTCAAGGCCAGCCTGGTCTACACAGTGAGTTCCAGGACAGCTGGGGCTACAGGGAGACCCTGTTTTAAAAAGACAAAAAAATAAATAAATTAATTAATTTTTTAAAAAGGGGCTGGGGAGATGGCTCAGCGGGAGCACTGACTGCTCTAGCAGAGGACCTGAGTTCAATTCCCAGCACCCACATGGTGGCTATGAACCGTCCTTAACTCCAGTTCCAGGGGAATCCGAAGCCCTCTTCTGACCTCCACAGCATTGCAGGACATGGGTGAGCTCACATACATGTAGGCAATATACTCATACACATAATAAAAATAAATATTTAAAAAATCTCCCTCATTACTCTTATGTGTATGAACACATTGCCTGCCTGAATGTAAGTGCACCCATGTCACATAATGCCTGAGGAGGTCAGAAGAGGGTATCAGATCCCTTGGAACTGGAATTACAGATGGCTGTTATCTGCCATGTGGGTGGTGGGAACCAAACCCAGGTGCTGCAGGAGTCAGTGCTCTTAACTGCTGAGCCATGTCTCTAACCTCACGCATAAGATTTTTTTTTATATTTTTAATTTTTTTTAAATTTTTTTTGAGATGGAGTCTCTCTGTAGTCCCAGCTGTCCTGGAACTCGATATGTAGACCAGGCAGGCCTTGAACTCAGAGATCTGCCTGCCTCTGCTTCCCAAATGCTGGGATTCACACAGAACATTTTTCTGTTTTTTTGTTTGTTTGTTTGTTTTTGGTCTTTTTGAGACAGGGTCTCCCTGTAGCTCCAGCTGTCCTGGAACTCACTATGTAGACCAGGCTGGCCTTGAACTCACAGAGATCCGCCTGCCTCTACCTCCCGAGTGCCATTACACCCGGCAACACACATAAGGTTTTTAAGGGTAAACTAAACACTACTTTTCTTTCTGAACTTTTATAAAGTTGAAGAACATATCTGGTTTCATTTTGTAGCTGAGGCTGGCATTAAATACTAAATCTCATGCAACTGCAGAGATGGCTCAGTGGTTGAGAGCACAAACTGGTCTTGCAGAGGACCCAAGTCTGATTCCCAGCACCCATGTCAGGACGTTCACAACCACCTGCAACTCCAGGTCCAGGGAATCTGACACCTCTGGCCTCTTCAGGCAATAGCACTGACATGTATACATACAGACACAGACACACACACATACAAAAATAAACCACACTCAGTTGTAGTTCTCAACTCTTCATGAAATTTCCTTCTAAACTTTTCTCTTTCTATCATCACTTTCCTTCTTCCCCTACCCCTTTTTGAGTCAAGGTCTCATGTAGGTAGCGCAGGCTAGCTTTGAACTCTGTATAATAAAGGATGAGGAACTGCTGATCCTCCTGCCTCCACTCCCAAAGGGCTGGGATTATAAATTGTGCATCACATCCAATGCATTCACTGCTGGAGTCTAATCCAGAGCTTTGCATGCTAAGCAAACATCACCAACCAAGCTACATCCCTAGCGCCAGACACCTAATTTCCAATGTGGATACTCATATATCTTTTCTAACCCTAACAGAATGTTGTTGGTTATATGATATTCTTCAAATATAAGCTATAAGGTAGCTATTGAGAGAAAGCTCTTCTTCAGTTACTGAGAATACACATCCAAGTAACTTAGTCTTGTCTGCCTCTGCTTAAAGGCAGTAAACGAACTATAGACTTATTTTCTTTCTTTTATTTTGGTCTTTTTGAGACAGGGTCTCCCTGTAGCCCCAGATGGCCTTGAACTCACAGAAATCCCACTGCCTCTGCCTCCCCAGTGCTGGGACTAAAGAAGTGCGCCACCACACCTGGCGGGCTTATTTTCTTTTGCCCTAAGAAAAAGTGCACAAAATAATTTCAAATAAAAATATTTCTGGCTGGGGGGCCAGGTGTGGTGGTGCACGCCTTTAATCCCAGCACTGGGGAGGCAGAGGTAGGCAGATCTGTGTGAGTTCGAGGCCAGTCTGGTCTACATAGTGAGTTGCAGGCCAGTTGGGGCTACAGGGAGACCCTGTCTCAAAAAGACCAAAAAAAAAAAAAAAAAGACCAAAAAATAAAAACAAAAAAGATTAAAAAATTCTGGCTGGAGATATGGCTCTGTTGGCAGATTGCTTGCCTAGTGTACAAAGCATCCTAAGTTCAATCACCAGAACTGCATAAATGAGGTGTAGTGGCACATGACTTTAATCCAAGATCTTGGGTGGTAGGGGCAAAAGGATCAGAGGTTCAAGGCATCCTCAACTACATATGGAGTTCAGGACCAGCCTGGGAGACATGAGACCCTGTCTTAAAAAAAAAAAAGAATTAAAATTATTGGCTTAAACAATACCATGAAATATTTCACATTAAGTGCTCAATATAATAAATTTAAAATATGGCCCCAAATAGTACTTGCCTAAAAAGTATATATTTAGAAGTATAAATGTGTAGAAAAAGTTGACAGTACTTTTCTGAATTAAAGGCCCAACTATATAAATCTAAAGTAAAAAGTGGGCTGTTCTTCTTTAATGAAAGGATCTCCCTATGTATTTACCACCCTGCTCAGTCTCCCTAGTAGCTAGAATTACAGGTTCTTGATTTCTTTTTTTTTTTGGGGGGGGGGTCTTTTTGAGACAGAGTCCCCCTGTAGCTCCAGCTGGCCTGGAACTCACTATGCAGACCAGGCTGAACTCGCAGCCTGCCTCTGCCTCCCGAGTGCTGGGATTAGAGCTGATTTCATATTTTTATTATCTGATTTTTCTTTAATACAAGCAGAAATTAGAAAATGTTTCAAGGGGCTGGAGAGAGGGCACAGTGGTTAAGAGCACTTGCTGCTCTTGCAGAGGACCAGAGTTCAGTCCTCAGCACTCATGTCAGGCAGTTCACAACTGCCTATAAGTCCAGCTCCAGGGGATCTTGCACCCTCTTCTGTCCTCCAATGGCACCTACACATATGTGCACATACTTACATACACACATTTAAAAATAAATCTTTTTTAAAAAACAAAATGTTTTGGGGAAAGATTTTAAGAGCCAGGGAGGAAGAACATGACCATACAGAAATAGTCCTACAGGTACCTGGTACCCTTCTCATATAAACCTACAGCAATGGTGTCAGCATGCACAAAACCCATGAAAACTCAAGCACACAAAAACCCAGTACAGAACTGTGGAAATGGACAGCAAACCCCAATCTTAGTTGAAGAATGATTGGCAGCTGATTACTGCTGGGTCGAAGAAGGGTTAATCTTCTTGAAGGGAAGGACCCTAGACAGGGTGACTAGACCGTGGTGGATGAACATGCACTGAGGGACATCTTGGGACACTAACTTTACATAATAAGCCTTAATACAAATGACAAAATGTATGAATTACAGCGGGGGGGCTATGGGAGGTGCCAAAGGGGAGGGGGACGGGGTATAAAGATGATTTTATGTATGAAATACACAAAAATTCAATAAAAATTTTTTAACAAAAGCTTGACAAAAGCATACCATCATTGACTCGATAACATAAGTTGCATTTCCACCTCCTCTGATCAAGAAAGCTGACGAAAGGGTTGATGTAGGTCCTACACGAACGACATCTCACAATTGTACTGGAGGTAACCACAGGCAATTGCTGAAAAAACAGAACTAACTTTTAAAAGGCAGTGATCATTAAGCTGAATGAGTAGACATTAATCTATTCCATCCAAATCACTAGTGCAACAGTTTAACTTTGGAGGAAAAAAAATCTAGGGCCAAAAAAAAAAGCGTGTGGTGGCTCACAAAATCTTAGTATTTAGGATGGTGAGGCAGGAGGACTGCAGTAAGTTTGAGGCCAGCCTAGGTCTTTGAGCAAGACCTAATCTCAAAACACCACACTGGATAAAAGTGCTCAAATTGCCACATAAAAAAAATTATGTGCAGGAGCTAGAGAGATGGCTCAGCAGTTAAGAGCACTAGCTGTTCTTATAGATAACCTGGGTTCAGTTCCCAGCACCCACATGGCAGCTGACAAACATCTATAACTCCAGTTCTAAGGAAATCCGACACCCTCTTCTGACCTCTGTGAGTATTGTACAACATGGGTGCACTCACATGCAGGCAATATACTTATACACATAAAATAAAAATAATAAGGTATTTTTAAAAAGGTGACTAAAAATATGTGACTAATGTTCCAGGGGATCTAACATCCTCTTCTAGCCTCCATGAGCATTGTACACACATGGTGCATGCACAAACATGCAGGCAAAACATCCATTACACACAAAGTATAATTTTTTTTTTTTTTTTGAGACAGGGTCTCCCTATAGCCCCAGCTGTCCTGGTACTCACTATGTAGTCCAGGCTGGCCTTGAACTCACAAAGATCTGCCTGCCTCTGCCTCCCAAGTTCTGGGACTACAGGCATGCGCCACCACACCCAGCTATAAAGTAAATAAATTTTAAGGGGCCAGAGAACTGGCTCAGTGGTTAAGGGCATTTACTATTCTTACAGAGGACTCAATTTCGGTTCCCAGTACCCACATGATGACTCAAAAAAAAAAAAAAACAAATGTAACTCCAATTTCAGAGGATCTGATGCCCTATTCTGGATTCTGTGGGCACTGTATGTACATGGCACACTTACATGTAGGCTAAACACTTATACACATACAACAAAAATAAGCTAAAAAAGTTATGTCACTGAAATTTATTAACTTTTTTTTCCTTTGGTCTTTTTGAGTCAGGGTCACCCTGTTGCCCCAGCTGACCTGGAACTCACTGACCAGGTCTATATGACCAGGCTGGCCTTGAACTCACAGAGATCTGCCTGCCTCTGACTCCTGGACTAAAGGTGTGCACCACTATACCTAGCTGAAATGTATTGACGTTAAACTCTATTGTTTTTTTCCAGGGTCATCCAAATTAAAATTTATATTAGAAAATTACTTATCTTTCCATTAAACATTCACACTACAAAACCAAAGCAGTGCATTTTCCAATGTATTTCCGAGGATAGATGGAAAAGGAAACAGGAACAATGTTCTCTTTTGTTGAGACCAGGCTTACTAGGTTGCCCAAGCTGGTCTCAAATTCCTGGACTCAAGTAATCCTCCTCTCTCAGCCTCCCAAGAAACAACATTTGAAAACAATAAGGAATAGGGCTGGAGACATGGCTCAGCGGTTAAGAGCACTGGCTGCTCTTGCAGAGGACACAGGTTCAAACTTCCACCCACGTGGTGGCTAACAACCACCAGAACTCTAGTTCCAGGGGAATCTGATGCCCTCTTCTGACCTCTGTGGACACTGTATGACACTTACATAGATGCAGATAATACACTCACACATAAAATAAAAATAATAATATAGGCCGGGCATGGTGGTGCATGCCTTTAATCCCAGCACTGGGGAGGCAGAGGCAGGTTGATCTCTGTGAGTTCAAGGCCAGCCTGGTCTACAAGGCCACACCTTCTAAAACCTCCCAAAATAGGGCCACCAACTGGGGACAAATTGTCCAAAACTTGGAGCCTATGGAGGACATTAAATAAATAAATAAATAAATAAATAAATAAATAAATAAAATAAAATATTAAAGAAATGAAAACGAGGAATGAAACCATTACAAAGCTTTTGGTTTTTTTTATTGAAGCCTACTTAATTCTCGGACAAGAATTATTACCAAATTAAATAGTATTTAATGTTTATCATATATATAAAAACTCAATGGTGCTCGGTGGGCTTGCTGTGCCAGCCTGACAACCTCAGTTTGATTGCCAGAACCCAGGTCAAAAATCAGCAATCTCATCACACCTATGGTGAGAATGGAAGAATCTCCTGGAAATTCTTGGGTCAGCTAGCCTAAAATGCACAGCATAGCAGAAGCAACAGAAGAGACTCTACCTCAATAAGGTTGGAAGGTGAGAATCAACTCCCAAAAGTTGTCCTCTAACCTTGACATGCATGCTAATACACACATACACACACACTATAATAATTAAGCAAATAAATAAATAAAACTTAAAAGTCTTCATATCAAAAAACAATAAGGGAAGTACATGCCTATAATTCTAGCACTCTGAAGGCTGACGCAGGAGAACTCTCACCAGTTCAAGGCTAGCCTAGGCTACATAAACAGGTGCCAGTCAGGTAGGGCTTATAGCAAAACAACTGTCTTTAAATAAACAAAAATCAAGGGGTTTGGGGGCTGGAGAGATGGCTCAGCGGTTAAGAGCACTGATTGCTCTTGCAGAACACCCAGGTTCGATTCCCAGCACCCTCCTGATGGCTACAAACCGTCCTTAACTCCAGTTCCAGGGGAATCCGAAGCCCTCTTCTGACCTCCACGGCATTGCATGACATGGGTGCACTCACATACATGCAGGCAACACACTTATACACATAAAATAAAAATGTTTTTAAAAATCTACCACAGTGAACCCAGAGTGAATGCAGATCAATTGACTAGCATGTATGAGGCCTAGGTTATAATACCCAGTAAAACAACCAAAATAAATCAAGCAATAAAAATCCTATCTAAAATTAAATCTTCTCTCCCCCGACACCAATCCCTAAGAGTATGCAGACACATGTCCAGGTTCC